AACTACAGCAACTCAAATAAACCCCAACGACTCTCTTTGCAGTAACTTTCAAATATAGAACAGAACACTGAGAAAAACCAGATTGTTTCTGATCCTAATGTCAATATAACAGTATTATTTTGAGGGAATTTTAGGCTCCCAGAACTGGTGGAATGCCTTTTTGGGGGGGGGGGGGGTTTAGATGGCTGCCCCAAAAACCTCTTTCACAAGGCACAAGAGTGCCCATTTTATAAGTGAACTTAGGGTCCAATTTCAGATTTTCATTTCAACCCTTAGTCCCTATCTCAATTCTATTTTTTACCCCTTGTTTTCTTAGCTTGTTACACAAGTAACTACCCTAAGTTTACTGAAACCTGCACTATAGTCCATCCTAGGAGGTTCTATACCCAATACAATTCCTATTCTGCCCTCACTTCACTTCAACAATTACCAAATTTGATTAAACTACCCTTTTCCCATGCCTAAACTACCGTTAGCACTCTCTGAAATTACTACCAAAACCCAAACAAAACCCCTGAATCTATTTTGCAATTATTAACCCTCGACCCAAATCTCAACTCACCAATTAACATCATCAGCTATAGCCAAATCCACCTAAACTAAGTATTGAACTAGAGAAGTACTGATTACTGGGTAAACAAAATTAATCCAGAACTTATCAAAACAAATTAACGAAGAATTAGTCTAATAATCACAACTAAAATCAGAAACTAGCACAAATTAGAACAAACAATCAGAACCTAACACATAATCCAGCACAGAATTGGCGAGAATCAACACAAAAGATTGAACCTAGGAATTAAAATTACAGCATCAATTCACACAAGACATGATCGAACAAGGAAGGACTAAACTTAGATTACTTGAAATAAAACTATACCTAAACCAATGACCAAATCGCCAAAACAGTTTCATGAGCCAAAACAGTCATGGAGTTACTTCAAACTATAAGAGAAAAGAAGAAAAACAGAAACAACAAAAAAAAAACAAAAAAAAAATGGAGCGGACTCACCGATATGATTCTAGGGTTTTGCCGCCTCGTCGACTCAAAGTTCGACCAGCTCCGGCGAGATTCGAGACAAGTGGTTATGGGGGTTGGGTAGAGGAGGCTTGGGCGGTTCTGTGATGTGAATTTGGGTTAATTTGGGACAACTGATATCGTGGCCGGAAAACTTTAAACCGTTATTCGAAGGGTTCGGCGTTGATTCGAGGGAAACCAAGGGCAGGGTTGGAAAGAGGGGAGCGAGGAGAACCGGTGGTGTAATTTTGGTTGCATTTGGGACTGGTAGTGTCATGGCCGGAAAATGTTCCAGCGAAGATTCGAAGGGCTAGGCTAGGTTTTGAAGGGAGCTGTTTGCAGATTCGAGGTGAGGGAGAAGAGAGGATCACGGGGTGTTAATTTGGGGTTATTTGGAGCAACGCCGCCGGCGGCGGCGATTTCCGGCCGGCGGCGCTAGGGCGGAGGACAGCGGAGGGAGGCGGGGCAGCGGCGGTGTTATGCTGATGAGTTTAGGGTCTCTGAGGGATGGGGTGAGAGAGGGGTGACGAGGGGGTAGGGGGGGTGCGTTTGGACATATATATATATGAAGTGACCCTAGCTTCCTGGCCGTTAGATCGTGAAACCTCGACGGCCAGGATTGATTAGGGCCAAAACGGCGTCGTTTGGTGGGGTAGGGGAGACGGACCGGGTCACCAGGGTTGGGCTTGGGTCTTTCAGGGTTATTTCATTTGGGCTCAGCCATTTTGGCCCAAAGACCAGTCCAATTAAGATCATTTTTTGATTTTTCTTTTTCCCTTTTATTTCTTTTATCTATTTTTGTATTTATTTATTTTTTCTGATTTTATAAAATGCTAAAACAAAGCAAAGACCTAATTACACTATTTAACTCCTAAAATTACTTAAAACTCTATTTAAAGACAAATGCAATAATTAACAATGCAAAGAACTATTCTCTTGCAATTTCCTTTACATTTTATTCTAAAACTAATTAATACTAAAATTGTGAAATTAAATCCCTAAATGCCAATGCATATTTTTGTATTTTCATATGGATTAAAATGCACAAATAAAAATGCAACAATTACCGAAGAATGCCACAAAATTCACAAAAATTTATAAAATACTAGGAAAATTGTTTTGTTTGAAATTTTGGGAATTATTGCTTAGGGCAAAAATCACGTGCTCACACTTCCCACTTCTCAATATCTGCTAGACATTTCCTTTCATCCTCTATCAGTTCTGCATTAAAATAATCTTCATTTAACATTCCTTGAATCTGATTTAACTCTTCTCTCATCTTGTTTAGCTTTTTATCCACTGATGAATGCTCATGTTGTATACTTCTAATCTCTTTCTCAATCTGCTTCAATTTTCTCCAGACTGTAGACATAGCATCTCCTCCACTTCTTTGTTCCCATACTCTTTGTACAATCTCCTTATATTCTGCTTGCTTCAGTACAGTAGTTTACAGTCTGTAAGGTCTGTTGACTTTCATTTTCTGCACTTCAGTACTTATCATTATTGGAGTATGGTCTGAACATCCAAGAAGCATGTATTGAGCCTCAATACCAGTGTATAGGTTGAACCATTCAGCATTCCCAAAGGCCCAATCTATATGACTATATATCCTTACTTCAGCATCTCTTTTGTTACACCATGTGAAGTCACCCCCTCTTTTGGTAATCTGCCCTACTCCTATATCTTCAATACAATTTTGGAAATCTACTACTTCAGCTTGTTGTACAGGATTACCATTTATTCTATCATCAACATTTAGTACACTATTTAAATCTCCTATTATAAGCCAAGGATCATTCAATTTTATACTTCTTAGTTTCCCCCATAGTGATTGTCTATGTTGAATAGTATGCAATCCATAAACAAATGTTATGTAACAAGTGAAAACAGAATTCTTATCTTGCACATAACAATGAATCAGTTGCTCTGTCTTCTCCAGTACTGTTACATTGACATTGACTTCCTTCCACATTAGCCATATTCTCCCATTTGGTGCATATTCATAATTGTCCTCAATTTTCTAATCATTGCCTATTTTCCTTTGAACATCCTTTGCCCTTTGCTTTTTGACTCTTGTTTCAAGGCAAGCTATCATATCCACTTTGTTTCTCAGCAAGAATTTCCTCACTTCTTGCTGCTTGTGGGACTTATTCAGTCCCCTCACATTCCAAGATATGATGATCATGGTGGCTGAGCATTAGGAGTGCTGTTTAGGCTCCTTTGTCTTGCTTCATTTCTGGTATCTGCATGCACAGTCTGTTCAGGTGGCTTCTCTTTTATCATCAGTGGTGCAAACCTGTTTCTATTTGCTAGCTCCTCATAATTGATCTCCTTATGCTTCAAATTTTGTGTGTTCATCTTCTGCTTGCCTTTGTCTAGCTCCTATTTCTCCTACTGCGCAGTATTATCTGTTTGTTGTTCCTTTACTTCCTTTGGCTTCCATATCATTTTCCTCTTCTTTCTTCTTCTTTTTTGTTTGACTTCTTCTTTTGTTCCTCCATCTGTTGGCATTTTCTTTTCTCATGCCCAAAGTTGTTACACTCTAGGCAGAATTTTGGTTTCCACTCAAATTCCACCATTTGAATCCAGCTTTTTTGACCAGGTATCTCAATGTGGACTTCCTCTGGTAGAGGCTGTGTGATGTCCATATCAATTAGAACTCTAGCATAGGAGACCCTCTCACAATCCGCAGTTAGCCTATCAGTACAAATTGGCTTACCTAGAAGGCTAGCAATCCTTCCTAGGTTTTCCTCGTTCCAACATTGGATAGGTAGACCTGGAAAATTGACCCACAGTGGTACAATTCTCATAGATTCTTCTTTGATCTGGAAATTTGGATCCCAGTTCTTTAGAATCATAGGCCTATTGTTAGCTGTATACGGTCCCTACTGCATAACCCTCTCTTTATCCTCCATAGATTCGAATTTAAAAATGAAATAACCATCATCATGCTCTAATACTGTTGGAGTTGTAACAAAATTCCAAACACCATAAACAAATTTTAGCATCTCTTTAAATGATGGATTTCCACCCAATACATACCCTATTAGAGCTGTCTTCCATTTTTGGACTTGCAGATCTATCTCCTTCATGTTCAATTTTGCTATTTTCACGCCATTCTGCACCATCGGTGGATAGAATTTTAATTGCATGCCCTGTGATTGTGTTCTGTTCCCTTTTACTGCTTCCGCCATAGTCTGCTTTTGAGATCCAGCTGAATATGTCAATTTCCTTGCTGCTGTGTACATCGTCACTTCCTCCGGTTGCATGGACGTCTTCTCTACTTCTGGTGGAGCTTGCATTACCGTTGGAGCACTTCCCATGCCAGGGAGCCAATGTAACAGTTGCATCAGTTCTAATTTTTGTGGTATTCCACTTTCCGGCGTAATTACTCTCGTCATCTTAGTGAATTCAGTAGGTTATGTGAGGATTGTAGTAAAGAAATAGAGCTAGTGTCACGACCCAAAGTCCACTAAGGGTCGTGATGGCGCCGGACACTGCTGTCAGGCAAGCCAACCAAATTACTTAATCAAATTCTCGTTTTAATACTTCTGAAATCTATGGTTTTCCTTCAAATTTTGCAATTTTAAAGAATATCATCTCAAATCAAATTTAAATGATTAGCAGTCAATACAATATTCAAACCATCCCAGAACCCGGTGTCACAAGTGCATGAGCATCTACTGATAAGGAAAATAAAATACAACATCCGTCCGGAATACAATGGACAGGAAATAAATACAATGTACTGAAGAGGGCTATACTAGCTGCGGGCCGCCTCGAATATTGCAACTCACCTAGCCCCCAAATCATCTGCGCTGCTGCGCCCAGTGGGCTGCTAGAAATAAGTATACTTGTGCAACAAAAATGCACGGAAGTGTAGTATGAGTATGTAATAAAAGTGTACTCAATGAGTATCCTGCCTAATCTCGAAGAAGTAGAGACGAGATGGTCAACTTGGACACTTACTAGAGGTCATTTGACAATTATACTAAAAATGTGAGGAAATCATGGAGTTATATAGCAATTCTAATTCACGAAGCCAGAAAACAGATCAAACACCTTCAACAAATGATCAAGGATTTTCAAGGTTTACTCTTTATTATCTTATCAATTTATATCAAGCCACGAAGGGCAAATTTCACATTTTCAGTTCTCAAGTAACAATATAACATGCATAAATCACACCGAGGCGACGGCCCGATCCAACAGAAATAAACTGTGCACTTGCCGAGGGTCGACGGCGCGCCTATAGATGCATCTATTTAATCTGCCGAGGCGTTCGGCCCGTTCCATAAATAAACACATATCCTGCTCGCGAATCATGCATGCAACGCAGGTACACATAGAGATACATGCTCAATCAGTCAATTAAGAACTTATCGGGAATATTTATCCAAATACAACAATTTTTATTCTTAACAGTTCAGGAAAATGATGTTTAATCTCTTTTTAAATTCATTTACTAATCCAAGGTGATTTAAGCAATTCAAGCTATCAATGGGTTCATAATAATCCAAGTATAACATGCTGTGGGTCCAAGCTACCCGGACAATAGCATAATAGTAGCTATGCACGGACTCTCGTCACCTCGTGCGTATGTAGCCCCCCGCAATTAGGAGCACATAATCAATTATATCACCTACGGGGACAATTACCCCTTACAAGGTTAGAAAGGAGACTCACCTCGCTTCGAAGATTCATAACCGGCATTCCACGCCCTTCCGGGGACTCTAATTGATGCACCATGCTCCAAAACTGGCCAACAGTTACGCAAATCCATTAATATATGCCTAAATATTCATTACAAACTAATTCATAGCAATTCCTAACTCCGATCGAAAAGTTGACCAAAATGCCCTCGGGCCCACGTGCCCGGAATCCAAATTTTTTCGAAGATAAAGATTACCCATGGCTTCACTAGCTCAAATATATAATTTACTCCTAATTCCATGCTCAAATTCTTGATCATAATTCAAGAACACTAATTTTCTAGGTCTTCCCTCGAACCCCAAGTTTTTCTACGAATTTCATGCTCAAATCCATGCATAATTGATGTATTTAACTCAAAATAGGTGGGGTAACTTACCTTGCCATTGGTGATGGAAATCCTCCCTAAAAATCCTCCAAGAATCGCCCCAAGCCAAGAAAAATATCATGAGAAATGGCCAAAATCGGAGTTTAAAACAACCTTCTGCCCCAGCTCTTTCCACATCTGCGGCTCCCAGACCGCTTCTGCGGTCCCGTAGATGCAGCCCCAATACCGCATCTGTGGTCCTCACCAGGCCTCCCCCTTTCCGCTTCTGCGCTCCATCTCCCGCAGGTGCGGTCCCGCATCTGCGGCAAAATGACCGCATCTGCGGTTCCAGCTCCCATCGTCTCCAGCCGCTTCTGCGGTCCATCCCTCGCTTCTGCGGGGCCGCTTCTGCAGTCCCATTTCTGCAGAAGCGGAAATACCAGCAACCAGCAGACCTCAACCTTCCCAAAAATCTATTTTTGATCCGTTAACCACCCGGAATTCACTCGAGGCCCCCGGGACCTCAACCAAACCTACCAACCGATCTCAAAACACGTTACGGACTTGCTCGAGGCCTCAATTCACATCAAACAACGCTAAAATCATGAATCAACCCCCAATCCAAGCTTTATGAACATTAGAACTTCCAACTTTTACTTTCGATGCTTAAACCTATCAAATCACGTCCCATTGACCTCAAATTTTGCACACAAGTCATATATGACATCACGGACCTACTGCAACTTCCGGAATCGGATTCCGACCCCGATATCAAAAAGTCCACTCCCGGTCAAACTTCTCAAAAACCTTCAAATCTCTATCTTTAGCCAAATGGCTCCAAAATGACCTACGGACCTCCGAATTTACTTCCGATCGCGCCCCCAACTCCAGAATCACCATACGGAGCTATTCACAGTCTCGGAATCCTAAACGGGCATCGATAACACTGAAATGCACTTCAAGCCAAACTTATGAAATTTCTTCTAAAATGCTAACTTCCACAATAGGCGCCAAAACACTCCCGGGTTATCCAAAACCCGAACCGGGCATACGCCTAAGTCCGAAATCATCATACGAACCTGCTGGAACCTTCAGATCCCGATTCCGAGGTCGTTTACTCAAAAATCCGATCTTAGTTCATTCTTTCAGCTTTCAGCTTCTGAAATGAGAATTCTCTTCCCAAATGGACTCTGAACTTCCCGAAACTTAATTCTGACCATGTACAAGTCATAATAACTTAAATGAAGCTGCTCATGGCCTCAGGCTGCTGAACGGAGCGCTAGAACTCAAAACGACCGGTCGGGTCGTTACATTCTCTCCCACTTAAACAAACGTTCGTCCTCGAACGTGCTGAGAACTATTCTAGAGTAGTCTGAAATCACTGTTTAACACCTCATGCACCTTCTCGTGCTACCATAACTCTGTTGAGCACATCAGCTCGATCAATTCTGAAGATATTCCCTTTTATTAAGGCAAATAAGCCTTAGAGCCAAATTCCAACTTCCGGAATTCTATGCCTGACATGTTTCCAACATACGAACACCGTATCAATCACTACACGCTGTACCCAAACATGACTGCATAACTTTGTTGAATTCACACCTTGCATCATTTTACTCACCGGACCACAATAACATTTTCTGACCAACTCAGTCGAAATTCCACGAATCTGATGCTCCCATTGCACCCCATGACATACACAGGTCTTACTCTAACTCTTACAATACCGCCACAACGGAAGAGATGTGCAGAAATTCATAATCAACTGCCGAATCAACCAATCATTTGGATCTATACTCCTGACAATAACCATCACCTCATTCTGAACCAAATAATGGTCTTAGCTCCTTAATGTACTTCATATAGTCAGATTGCACTGATCCTAGACCAAGGGATCTCGTCTCATCTGATACAACTGCTCAGGCAACAAGCCACCCCAGACATTATCAAAAGTC